TATCTCAAAGAATATTTTCAAATGCAGTCCACAAAAAAAAAAATCAAAACTCTTCTGTAAGAAAATTATTGAAATTCTTTTCGTATTTACCTCTTCTTCACATCATATTTATAATATTTACATAATAAAAACTACAAATGCAATAAAAATCTTTCATAATTCTAAAAAATGCAATTTAAATTAATATGTAACTATAAATATTAGTTACAGATGATAATTCTACTTACTTTAGTAACAAAGACTTTTAATCATTAATTTTCATTTTAGTATAAATATAGTTCAGTAATAAATCTTATAGTAACTTATTATTTGACTCAAAGCTTAACTAAGATTTATGACTGTTATTAAATAATTTTACAGTATAAATAGAATGTAAAATAAAGTTGATACTGTACTTTACTGCTGATGGTATATACTGATAATACTGATAATTGAGTACAAAGATATAAAAAATAATAGGAAAAACAAATTAAAATTTAAAAAAAATATAGCATTACGCAAAAACAGAATATAATATAATATAATCAAAAGTGTAAGAAGTTTTCTAAAATAATTAAAGATATCACCATGGAAAGCAAACAAAATCTCTAAAGGATAAATCTCAAGAGGAAAAGAAGAGTTTGAAGTAAGAATCAATTTAATGAATAAAAATGATAAAATGGAATGATACCAAAAATAAAACAGTCTAAGTGCAATATGAAATCTTAAAGAATAAGTGATATAACATTAAATAAAGCAAAAATAATTAAATTCAAAATAGAAAATACCAAAGATACTTTCATTAAAAAGAGTCAAAATATAAATGCAATTCATTAACTTCAAAAGTAATTAAAAAAATAAAAATGCAATTAGCTGGATAAAAAGAGAAAAAATTTTATAGGAATTTACATGGAAAAACCTCAATGTTCTTAAATAGATGATATATTGGTTTAGGAATAAAAAACAAAAAAAAAAGGAATAACATAAGAATGCTGATAAGATACATTTAATCTTTAAAAAACAAACATTCTATAGACAAAATGCTTTCAAATAACAAACAGAAAAAGATAAGGATATACAATAAACATATTTAAAATAAAAACGGAAAAGACAAACAGCTGAATAACAGAATATCTGAAGAACAGAACTGAACAATAAACATTATGAACTGGTAATCAAGAAAATTGAGCACAAAAAGAATTTAGATTGATATAGAACTCAAAATAATTTGTAGATATCATTTAATAATGCAAGATACTATCTTATATAACTTTCTTAAATAGAAAATTGTCTATGTTTTACAGTTTTAAATAACAAAATTATTATAAGAAATAACTTAAGAAATAATAAAAAAATAAAAAACTGAAACTGAAAATTGATTATCATGTTTAATTTATCTTGTATGATTAGTTTTAATATTCTGATAATTTAACCTTGCAATAAAATATGATGGAATGAAATTAAGATAAGAACAATAACTTTTCAAAGCAGTCTGGTCTGATGATAAAGGTTTTCATTTANATTAAAATAATTGTGATACAAATTTTTTCTTTCTTAATTATAATTTTTTTATAAGAAAAGTTCATAATTTCAAAAAACTAACATATGTTCCATCTTAATGATCACCAAAATATGTTTCAAGAGAACTGATATAGAGAGTTTTTAATATAAATCAAATCTAATAAAATATATGTTGGCTGAATATTTACAATTTCATAGAGAATAAATTTGCTTTAAACTTCAAGAATTTTTAATGGTCAAAAATAGGTCATGTAAGTTATCATAAAAATCTTAAATGATTTTAAAAATTTCAATATACTGTATCCTACCTGTCAAAAACTAAATACCACATAACAAAATCACATACACAGTAATCATTGAACTGTAAACAAATAGAACAAAACTATATAATTCTCCTTAAGGTAAATTCTTTCTGCATGACACAAAATACTTAAAACTATTGTATTTTTATCTTTTACAAGTAACATTCCTTGACTTAAATATTTTTATATGAATCAAAATACTGTAATATATTTAAACAATACATAATATAGTTAAAACATTACAAGAGCTTATTTTAATTAAATATATCCATAAATTGTAAATTACAAAAAAGACTAATACAAGAACATTTCGAAGTATTCTGCATATCCCTTTCTGACCATCGGAACACGATCAACATTAGTCAGTCAGTCGTTCATCAGTTATTAAACATTAGTCGGAAGATACTTTTATTTTTACAAAGAACAAATTTATCCGTATAACATTTACCAATAAAAATATCTCAATAACAACAAATTGAACACAAAATATTTTGACAGTAATACAAGATGATAAGCTCTAGAAAATCAGTACTAAATAAGCTTTCAATGAATTAACTTAAGCTGTTTTCTAAGAGTACGGTATAAATCGTAGAACAGAAATAGCAAAAACTTTCTACTGTATATGTTTACCTTTAAGAAAAGAAGTTTCTTAGCAGTGACAAAACAGGTGCACCCAGCCACAGGTAACAGCTACAGCACCACTGACCGTGCAGTAATCTATGCTCGGATACACCTGCAGTACATGTACATTAGTCAAAGCGGCGCCGTCTACCACCATTTCATAGTACAATGTTCCTTATTGACATTGAATATTCTTTAGTCACTATCTGCCATGTTTTACAATGGAACCACCTTAAGGTGTTCTTTAAAAAATGAGTAACTCGCGTATGTGAATCGATAACTTTCTTTAAACTTCGTTCTTCGGGTCATTGAACTTCACTCAAGACATTTTTTTTCCCTTAAATTTACAGCAGAAATAACCATTGCTTATATGAGAAAATAATATAAAATTCAAATCTCTTATTTTCAATTATAATAAAAACGTTCGGTCGATACAACTGTTTTTTTTTCTTTTTTCTTTATATAAAATATATAAATGGATTATCACGATCCATGTCTACCACCACTTATTAATGTTTATTTAATTTCCATCGATTATCTTTACCTTCCATCCAGTTAAAATGTACTACTATCAAACAATATGGCGGCCGACTTCCGGATCGATAACAAAACTCTAAACTAATACGCAAGCATATAACGATTACATCTGTGTATTATTACATTACGGTTGGTTATAAACGAAAATATAACGATAAAAATATATTTTTATATTATAATTTCCTCGTCCATATTGATTTTGTGATATACATGTCACGCCACCTACTAATAATAAACACAAATATTTATAATTAAAGAGATTAATGGCTTAGAAAGAAGAATTGTAATTCGGATATTGATAATCTCATCTTATATTAAAAATTGTTTATATTATCAATATGAAAAACAGAAATGCAGTTTAAAAATTTTACACTTACAATTTAGCCATTTTTTTATTTTATTTTTTTTTTCTAATAAACCAAAAAAAAGAACCAAAATTAAAATAATACTTGTAGATTAACATTAGGTCTTAAGAAATTTTGATGAAATTATTTATTAAATCTTCAAAAAACTCTGATATTTAATATTAATCTCAATAGGATTTATTCAGTTAGTGTGGGTGGAGTTCCGGAAGCATTAATTCTAAGCAGAATTTTAATGCTGATATATATCATCTTAAAAATAAAACATTTAGAAATAAAAATTGAACTATTTGTAAAGTTATTAAAACTGTAAATATAAAGAGTAATAATTATTATAATTATATTTTAATCTTTATTCTAAATCTGACCGAACACACCACAATGTATAAAAGTTTTAATATATGAATATGTTTGAAATATGTAAATATGACTATATTCTTGACATGTAATTCAGCATTATGTATCCAATAATTATAAATGCAAATCATATATAATAGGAAGTTAAATTGTTTTAAAGCATAATATTTATGTTGACTTTTTAATTGATTTGTGATAATTGTATTAATCTACTAAAATTAAAAAGTCAACATAAATATTATGCTTTAAAAGAATTTAAAATTCAATATTAAAATATATTGAATTATTCTCTTTCATACATTACATTACAGATTTCATCTTCAATTCTAAATGTTTAAGTTAATTTCCTGAAAACTCTATTATTATCAAACTATTAAACATGAATATAATTTTGAAATTATTATTAAAATATCAAAATACTTGTCTGCAAATTATATCAAATATTATTCAAAATATTGGTTAAAGAAACATTTTTAATCAAAATATTCCTGCTAAAAAACTGAAAAATTAAAATTAAAAAATTAATTATATTTTTCTAGATTAAAATTAGAGTTAAATTAAATATTAAAAGTATTAATATCAAAAGAAATATGTTATATGTCAAAACTTTTATAAAATAAACATTTTTTCTATTATAACTATTAAATTTATGTTCCTGTGCAATACTGGCAGAGTCAGGATGAGTAATCAAAAATTAAAAGACAGTCTGATTTCTAACAGTACTTCAAAACATTGTGTAATGGTTACCTTATTTGTAAATATTAAAAAAAAATAAAATTAAAAAATATATATATTAATATTTAAACCATTTATGCTATATTATTTTGAAATAGATAAAAAAATAAATTACTTTAAAAGGAAAATTATGTTTAAATTATTAGTAAAATAAATTGAAATCAAAATATCCATCTGAATGTACTAAAAATTGTATATTTAAAATTTAAGAAACTTTATATATTTTATTTAACTTGAATTTTCGTGATAAAATTCTAAGTGGAAAAACATTTCATCATTAAATCATATAATTATTATTTTTCTTCTTTTCTATTAATAAAACAATATATATCTGAAAAGTAAATAGTTTAAATATTTAACAATAAATTACAAAATAACTATAAAGTAAAATTTTCTCTTAAAATTTGACAGGAAAAGTACGATAAAGGATAGGATTATAATCATTCTTACTGCAGTTATCAACTCATATCAAAAATAAAATATTTACAAATAATCTTATCTCATTTACACAAACTGTAGTAAAAAAGATTTCGTTACCAAGAATCAAATTAATCAGATAAGCGCTATAATTTACTTAAAATCTTACCTGCAAAAGACAAACTGCGACAGATTTTTCCTTCCTTCCTCCCTTGCGGATGCTGAGGATCAATCACGGATGCTGAGAAGTAAACGAAAAGAAACGGAACATTATACGGAAACAAAATGTATAAAAATTTTTAAAAATTACTAATATTTATAATTTTTTTTACTTTTAAATTATAAATATAATTTTTATTACTTATATTAACGTATAAATTCTTCGAATTATCGTTTTAAATACGAGGCGTTTCCGTTTTTGAATAGTCACCTTTTATGTACGTCATTCATAGGAAGAATAGATTGGAGTTGGATTCGGTTGGAATTAGCGAAGGTTAACGTTTGATTCCCGGTTTAGAGTGTATCTAACTTCTTTATAAATTATAAAATGGCTCTGTTTAGAATACTTGGAAGCAGAATTGTTATACAATCACAGGTAGAGTCTAATAATTTTATAAAAGGATATTTTTTATTATATTAGAAGCCATCTTACTAAATTCATTGATTGGTATAGTCAAATTTAATATTAAAATGAATTATCTGCTTATAAAAAATGCTGTATGCATTCTATTATAAAATTACTATCAATAATTATTTTATTAATTAATGATGCTAATGTATTGATTTCAAACATTATTGATAAGTTTATTGACTTTTATCTATTACTGTATTTTAATTGATTTTTCTATTATATTTTAATACACTAGTCATTTTAAGATGTTTATATATTTTATAAAATTATAATGAAATTTGTGATGCAAAAATACATTTATACATAATAAACATACATTATATTAAATTATTTTATGTTTATAATGTTTTTCTTTTATTAAAATAGAGATTTAATAAAGTTATACTTAAAATTTAAAAAATTAATTTTTTTTATAAGATTTATTTAAATTTTAAATTGATACGTGGTCGATATTTAATGAGATTTACAAAAAGTCCGAACGTAATAACTTTTTAAAATAAGTTATTATTTAATTTTTAAAGATTCAAATACGTATAATTATTGCAAATTTATTTTTAATGTTGTAAACATGTTTAAACAATTTATAAACGCGTAATGCTAAAAGTGTATAATTTTTCATAATTTTCTATATATTTATTATTTTTTTTCATTACTAAGTAGAATTAATACTGATTTTGTTAATTTAATTAGTTTAAATATCACAAATCGTTAAAAAATTGTTTTTTTCTTTATTAAAAATTTAAAAAATCATTACTGAATATAATTTTTTTTAAATTAAAAAATATGGTAGATTAATATTAAAAATTTAGAAAATAGTTTTAAAAAATGTTTAAATATATTTAGTAAGATATAAACATAATTATGATCCATGAAAACTTTTATTTAATAATTGAAATTTTTATATCTCCAAATTATTTTTAAATATGTCACTTTTAATATATTGTAATGATCAAATTCCGATTTTAAAATTATAGTAACATCTAAATAAAAGTGGTGATGATTTCTTAATTGAAAATTTTGATTATATTTAGATCATTTTTAAATTTTTTATAGTTTAAATGTTTTAAACCACAATTAATTTAAAAATATTAAGGTAAATTCTTTTTAAATATGCAAATTTCAAACAATGCTTTTATTTTTGACTGCTTTTTCCTTGATTACAAATTTTTACATTACGGTATAGTATCACCATTCAAGATGTAAGTATTATTAGGAAAGAAAGAAAACAGGTTTGAAGGGAGAAGGATAAAGGGAAGTCAGTATGGGAAAACAACTTCAGAAACTAATAGTCTAGAAATTCCATACAAAATCCCCTTTTTGGAGACAATGCTAACTGGAAAGTGGAAACTAATGTTTGATATGAAATTTCATTTTTTTTTTCTTCTACTCTAAACAGAAGGATAATTTGTATCTCATATGAAAATATAAGAGAATTTATAAATATATATAAATACTCTCATATTTGCTTAAAAATAAAACTGTACTAAATGGTATATTATACCATGTAATAAACTTCTTTCTTAATAAATAAATAAATCTTATTTAGTTAAAATAAATCTTATGTTATGAAAACAAAATTTTTTTTAATGTATTGTACAAATCTTTGGTATTTAGTTGTATCTTATTAAAATTACTTTATAAGTCAAATAAAATTGATACTTGCATACATTTATAAATACCAACTATATCATAGAAATATTTATTTTTCAAAATTTGTTTTATTTTAAGATTTGTCAAATTGAAAAATTTTCATTTATTAACTTTAGAAATATTCATTAATAAAATCTTTTTATTTAAAAGTAACAGTGTATGTATAATGTTCATGTTTTGTGTAATATACATACTTTAATTAAACTCTTCTCTAACTGCACTTACAAACCTTTAAAATGCAGTCTATTTTATTATAGCATTTTATAAAATAGACTGCATTTTAAAGGTTTGTAAGATTTAGTTACTTTTATGTATATTTTTATTTTAATTAAAAAAAATAAAATGCATTGCTCTAAATTGATTCTAAATTATTTAATATTTTTAGTCATCATTAATTTACATGTTTAGGTCATCTACATAATACATAATTTTAAAAATTGTGATCAAAAAAGTAGAAAAACTAATATCAAACATGAAGTTTATATTTATAAAACTTTTTATTTACAACAATTAAAATTATATAATAATTTACAATAAATAAATTAATATAAATATTTTAAATATTGTCCCTTTGTATATTTAGAACTTTGATTATTTGATGATAGATTTGTGATGTTTAATTTAAGCTACTGTGGAGAATCAACACAAATGTCCTATCTTTACTACACTTGACCTTCTTAGATAACCTTTTCACATTGATCAGTTATTCTTTTCAATTAAATTTTAAAATAGTTTATTTAATTATATTTAATAAGCTGAAATTTTTAAAGATTAAAGTTTGTTTACCTAAATTTAAAAATAATCATTCTATTAATATGTAATGTATATTTTTAACAACTATCAGCAAAATGTTTTTTTTTTTAGATTAAATTCTGAGTAATTGTAATTTGTTCTTTTTATTTATAAAGGAGCTATATTATAGTTTTTTAATAAGTTTATATAATAAATTTACAATGTTTTAAAATAATAAATAAACTTAAGTTGTTAACTTTATATATAATAAACTGTATGCTTTTCAATTAAATTTTTAATGATTAAAACATATAATTTTAAATTAGTGAAGATTGCATACATCTTCACCTTTTTAAATTTATTTTTGTGTTGCTTTTCTTTTTAATGATAGAACATATTTTAGTATACTATAATTGCATAGAATTCTTTATAATATATAATGTTTTTCTTTCTGCTATATATTTCAAATTTAAAAAAAAGCAATGAAATTAGATTTTATATGTATATAATATAAATAAAATGTTATTGTTGTCTACTTATTTGAATAATTATTGATTGTTATAATGTTACTTGAAATACTGTATATGTTACAGGTTTTATTTTTATTTATTTTAGGTTATTGTTCCAGTTTCTATTCTAAATAGAAATATTTCCGATTCTACGGTATGTAGTATCATTTTCTCACATTTTCATACATTACATACTTTTACATATGTAATGTATTAAAAATACATTGAAGGTTTAACCAAATTTTTTTTATTTAGGATTTAAAAGGAATTTTGGCAAATAAAATAATTGAACACCAAAAACGGGTGAAGAAATTTCGAGAAGAATATGGTGATAAAGTGATTGGTGAAATAACAGTTAGTCAGGTGAATTTTATTTCTTTTTTTTTCTTTTCTTTATCTAATAATAAAATTATCATCTTTTTAGCCTTGAGAACTATTTTTGTTCTAATAAAATTTAATTATATTGAAAGAGCGAATAAATATTATTTACATAGAAATAAATAACTTTGTGTAAATGACTCGATCATAAAAATCAAATATTACGTATTAAAAATTAATTTAATGCTTTTCTAAGATGCAAAAAAACAAAGTGATAAATTGAAAGATTTTATTTAAAAATTTTTGAAGTAATAGTTTAAAAATTTTAATTAAGTAATTTACAAAGTATATAATAATATAAAGTGTTATGTATTTAAGTGTTTTGTTTTTTGGGAGATGGTTTTGCTCCCCACATCAAGGAGTGTATCCAGTATGCATAATAAATAAATTAATTAATTAAATAAATAATAATATAAAGATATACAGGATGGAGATAGTCTTTATCTATCTTAATGAAACATATTGAAATTATAAATAATTTAATTACAGAATAAAAGATTAGTAAAAATTGTTGAATTATCACAAGTAAGATTTGATATGACAGTCATCAGTATTTCTGCATAGCTCAAATCATTCAGTGGCATTTTGAAACACATCTTGTAACCTGTAGGGCATTGTTATCTGCATCATTTTGTGTGTCTTAACTGTTCAGAGTTCTAATCCTTATTTTTTAGACTTGTGATTTGATATACTCTAAGCAAAGAAATCCAAAAGAGTTAGATCTGTAATTTAGCTGGCCTCAGTCTGTTACATCCATATCCACTCCAGCCTTTTTCCAATGTCATTGCACTTCTTTCCCTGGATTTGCCAAATAACTAATGCTATGTGTTTTTCTGTATTTATTTTAAGGCTCTGGGGGGAAAAAATATAAACAATTTACATAAAAATAGATAGAGACTTTGTCCATCTCATATATTTCAGAATTTTATATAAAAAATATTTTTAAAAATGATGATGATATCATTAACATGCGTATCTGTTTCCTTGTTAACATTGTTTTTTAATAAGCAAAATATTTTTTTAATTTAAAAGAATTTTAAATGAAAATGTTATTAAGATTTCAGTATATTACTAAATATAATATATTTCTTTTATATGAAAAAAATTACGAATATGTTGAACAATTTTTAAACTCTGATATGAAGTATTTTTAATTAATGGAGTAAATAACTGAATTCCAAAAAATCAAATTTAAGAACTGTTAATATTGATAAGGGACTAGAAAATGCAAATTATTTAAGAATTATTAACATTTATTTTTACAGAATAGTTATAAAAGTAGTGCTTATAATTGAACTTTGAATTGTTTGTTAAATAAATATAAACAAAAAAAATGAATTATTTTAAATATGATTTATGTGTAACCTTAACCATATACACTATATTAAATATATTTGATATAGATTTTTCTAATTATGTCATGTCAGGTTTCTTTAGTCTTTCTACTGACTTTGCATTATTTCCAATTTGAACTAATTCTTTCTTACAAATTCTTTTAAATGATTTACAGATTATTAGTATAAGATCTGTAAGTTGTATTTTCTGTATTAAATCCCTTGATGTGGCTCATTTTTCATTAAATGTTGTCCAATTAATATTCTTTTTGAAAATAAGCATAAATAATTTTATTTACAGTCAATTGATACAACCATGACAATATTATAAAGACAAATGACAATATAATTTCTTGTTAACACCTAGCTTCTCTTGACACCATTACTAAACAATCATTCTATATGTCAAACATTTTAATTTAATATATAGATTATTTTAAAGTTTTTACTTTAGCAGGAATAAAGATATAAAAATTAGATAATCTAACTACTGTAATTTACTGCAAATAAAGCTATGGATTATCTGTGTTAAAGTCAGTTTGGGTTATGTAAAACTGCATGTTGTCTGCAATTTTTAACTCAATATTATAAACTCATCCAACAGCATTTCCTTTGTCTAAACTTATCCCAATATCTTTAAGAACAAGTGAAATCCTTTGTCCTCTGCATTTCACACATTCATTTGCCATTGAGATTTTTGCCAATACCACCATAGACACATATACATGTAGGGTTCCTCAATTCCCGGTCTTTTGCTTGTTCCGGGATTCCAGGTAAAAAGTGAACTGTTTCCCAGGATCCTGGGATATAATTAATTATTTTTAAGATATTCAGTTTTAAGATTTATTTTATAATTTTTCATTTTTAAGTAACTTAATACATCCTGCAACCTTCAAAATAATAATAATAATGCCGTGTAAAATATATATTAAAAATTACCTTTGAATTATGTAGAAATTTTCACAAATAGAAAAAAATTTATTAAAATTTGTTGGGAACTGCTTACGACAAAAATGCCTTTGAATTGAGTTGAAAATTTAAAGAAAAAAATGAACTTAGATCAAACTTCTAAGTTAAAAGGTAATTTTCATTTTTTTAATAAAAATATTATAAAAATTTACAATAATATTTTGCATTAAGATTAATACTCCCTCTGATCACTCAATTTGATTCTTATTTTATTAAAGAAAAGTCCTGATAAGGAGAACTCCTTTTTCGATCCAATTGATGTGGGTGGAATCGTCTTAACATTCATCTTCTCTTAAATGCATTAATGTGTTTTTTCAACTGTAGCCTGGAAGCTTTCTAGTTTGTTTTGAGATGCGTTACAGTACTTCTATTGCTTATGCTGTCTAGTATTCTTGATTTGTCTACCTTGGCTGCTTTAATAGCAACATCAAGCTTACAGTCCAATAATTCGACAGTTCATTTGGCTTTAATAATCAGGTTTATGAAGTTTTTCTTCATACTTGTTTGTATCCTTGCCCAATTTGCACAACCTAGTAAAATGCAGTTATTGAAGCTACTGGGCATGGTTAAAAAATAAGACAGCATAAGCACAATTATTCCAGATATTACAGAATCCTGTCACAAATCTACATATTGATTATTGATAATCTGTGACATGCCATAATAAGCAAAAATTTAAAAAACTAATAAGCAAGCTTAAAATTAATAAATACAAATGTATTCTGACGGTTTATGAGTTAATTATACTTTCTATTTAAATTGTTGCAAAATTTCCTCAACTTTAATACAAAATAAAAAAAAATGAATTTTTAAAAAATTTGCAGGATTTCCAAGGATGAGAAGAATTTCCCGGGTTAAAAAACAGCCGGGATCCTATCGGAGAGANTTTTGATCTTTTAATATTGAAATTATACTATATGCAAAGTCTTCTAGCTTTATATGGAAAACTCAATTATTGTGTGTGGGTAAGTGTAAGAAACATTTTTGAAATATTGGAGTTTTGCAATTTTGGATGAATAACCTTCAACCTTGATATAAACCTGTACATAAACTGTAGTTATATGTAAATATACAGTATGTTATAAGCCTAAAGAGTAGCCTTATAATTCATTTGGTAGTGATGAAATGTCTTGCAGTACCATTTAATATTTTAGCAGGTTTACCATTAATTCATATTGAACCTGTAAGAAGGAAGTTTATAAGACTTCTTAGCTTAAAATTGTTCCACAACTTTTTCCATCACAGAAAGAAAAAAAAAATGAAATGGTGGCACTAGGAATCGATGAAATTGTTGTGAAATTGTTGTGAAATTTTTGAACAAGTTAGCAGAGATGGTGGAAAAATGAATGAAGCAAGTGGGATAAAGTTTCCCTAGTTTAAATTATTAATCAACATAACCAGACTTGATTATTTATAATGAATATGTAGTAGTACAAACTTTATTGCTTAACTAAATAGTTTAGTTACTATAGTTATAGATGTATAAAAATCAAACTATTTTATTATCTATGTAAGAAAAATCAAAATCAAATCATCAATTAATTACATAAAAAGGTGTATTTCAACTATTGTATATAATAATTATCTTTCCAAATTATTGTGCAATTCAGACTGGTTTCCTGAACTGGTTTTATTGCTGTTATGACATATCAAAATTCATTGATTGCATCTAATACCCATTTGTTTTAATTCTATTTTTTTTTATGTAATAATTTCTGTAATGACCACATTGTTGCAAGGAGTTGATAGATAGTAATTTATCTGTATGAAAAAAATATGACAATATAAATGTTTTATTTCATTAAGTATAGGTCACAAACACACTTAATTTGCACATATACAATATATTGGTTAATGATAAAATATTAAATACAGTTATACTAATATGTTCTATATAAAGTAATTTTAATCATATTCTTATGACTCTATATGTATGAGAAATTATAATTTTAGTAACATATATTGTATTGAAAAAAGGAAGCATTGAGATTATTATTATGTTTAGCTATTAGAAATATGAATGGAAAATTTTTAATCATTCTGTAACCATGATTATGTTAAAAGATTATAATCAGCTAAATCAGATTATATGTTTTAAAATGTAGCCTATGAAATTATTGTTTGTATTAGCTAATTACATTAATCTGTATATAAGTAGGAGTTCATTTATCATCATCACCCAGCTTAATTGTTTTTAGATAATTATAACACTTATAAATAAATCAAACATTTTTAAAACTAATATAAACAAATAACAAATACTTATTAAAGCATTTTTTATTTTGAACATATTTAAGATTTATCTGATATAACTTGTTTATTACTTTTAAATCTTGTTAAATGATATTTATGTTAAAAGAACTAATCAAACTAGATATAAAATTAAAATATATAATTATTTGTCTAAAAAATTATTTAAAATGTTAAGAATTTTTAACTACTGAATATCATCTATAAAAGTTGGATTTTTCATAAATTACAAAATTGAACTTGTAACAATTGACTTATTTAAATTCAAAAGAAAATGAAATTTATTTTATCAAAAAACTATTTTGTTCCCACTTCAGCTGTGTCCAGGGAGTGCTTATGGTGGTGCAATTAGTTTTGTTATTTTAAAATGATACCAAAGCAATTAGTTTTGACTTTTTTAAATAATATAATATATATTGCATGATTTCAACTAGATAACTAAAGCAATTCTAACATATCTAAGGTAATTGAGTGGAATTATCCAAAAAGCAGTAAGGCATAAGCTTTGGTTCCCCAAATTTGTCTTGAACAGCTCCC